GCGTTACGGCTCACCCGACTGTTCGCCGCCCGCATCGTGTCCACCCTCGGCGCCAGCCAAGTCCGCGCCCAGTTCTACTCCCGCGGGAGTCGACGAGACGGCGATGGGCCGGCAGGTGGGCGAGCAGCAGGCGGCGGGGCAGCGGTCGGTATCGCAGTAGGAAGAGGTGCGGCGGCGGCGGCGGCCGCCGGTAGGGCCAGCAGCGGTGGCGGGGGCGGGGGCGGCGCCATCACGGAGGGCCAAGAGGAGGCCCCGGAGCAGAACGCCGTAGCCGCCGCCGCCGCCGCCGCCGCCGCTCCGGCTGACCCGGTAATGGCGCTGCTGTCGTCGATAATGTCCCTCCTGTGCGCGTCGGGGGACGAGGGAGGCATGGTGGGGAGGACGCCGAGGAGACGCAACGGAGGGGGGGGACGAGGAGGCGGCGGGGTGCTCTCAGTTGAGGGTTTCTCCGACTTGCAGCTGGAGGCGGTCGGGCTCCTCCTGGTGCTCCTGGGAACACAGGCGTACGGGCCGCCGCCGCCGACTTGGGGCTCGTCGCCCGGCCGAGCAACGAATAGCGGTGGTAAGCAAGCGGTGGTGGGTGGGTGGGTGGGTGGGTGGGTAGCGGAGACTCGCTCGGGTAGAGAGGTTTTTGGTTTGAGCTGGGGTTGTTTGTGGAGGCCACCAGCAGGGCTCTCGGAAAATCGTCGTTGCTGTTAGTGGAGGCGGCCGTAGCTGTGGGACGCTCTCCTAGTCTGAGGTTGACCAACCGAAACCTCCTTCTCCGATGACTCGCGCGAAGCGCTTGGAGATGTGCTTGAACGGTTGTGCGTACGGGGATGCCTGTGTACTGTCTTCCGGCACACAAGCTAGATTTACGCAGCATTGATGCTGTTTTAGAATCACACGCTTGCTCTCGCCCTTCAAATCTCCATGCATACCAGTCTTGGCAGCATGTTAACCTAACCTAGCGCTTCCATCCTGCCCCCCCCGCCGCCAACTCCGCCCCCCTCCTCTCCTCTGTCCAGGACAACAAGGTGCTAGCGCTGCCGACAACGTCTTTCTGGACGCCCTTCTGAGGGAGGCGTCGTCGAGCGGCGGCGGCGGCGGCGGCGGCGGCGGCGGCGGCGGCCGGCCCCACGGCTGGGGCTGCGCTCTCCCGCGCGCCGTCCTGGGGTGGTTCGTCCGGAGACCCGCGGCGCCCCCCGGATCGGCG